GATCTTGTGGTCATTGAGGCTCTAACACTACAAGAAAAGTGGGAAATGCCGTCGGATATATACAGGCAGTTATCAGGAAACCGCCTCTAACAACACTTTTTAGGCGGTTCTCTAGGCGGAAAAAATGGCCGACTTCTTTTGGAAGGACACCCCGTCGGATCTTGTGGCGTTTAATCATAACCGCCTCAGTTTGAGATTTTCAGAGGCGGATAGTGCCGCGTTTCTTCTTGACCGCCTTTGGATATGCATAAACCCAGGCGGTTACCGTGTCGGCTTTGAGAAGTCGTCGAAATGTTTTATAATACAAAGGCGGTTGGAATGAAACCGCCCATGAATGAAGTTTGGAGGCGATTTTTTTGAAAATAAAGGCGGTTTTGTTTATAAAATATGTAATTAATGAAAAAAGTAGCTATACGTGACGTCTGATTTGATTTATTTCTTTTTACTGATAATTTTTATTTATAATTACAAAAATATCATTTTATATATATATATAAATTTGTTGGAGAAAAAAACACTCCTTGAAGGCCAAACCAAAGAATATTATGAATTAAATAATAATTGGTGGTGGGACTATATATATTACTTATTAAAGTGAAAAACCTGAAAATCCAACACAAGCCACACATTTACGCAGAAGGTTCAATTATACTGTATGAACCAATATTATTTTCTATTTTTAAATTATTTGCAGGAACAAAATATTTCTTGGTATTGTATATATAAGTTATATTTGATATATTAAAAATATATTATTATTAACGTAAATATTACAAAATTATTACCATTTTTAAAAAAAAAAGTAAAGTAGTGAAGAAGTTCCACTACAAAAAGTTATAATTTTGCAAGTAAAATATTCTCCATGTATATATATGCGGACGTAAGAAAGGCAACAACCCAAAAGCCAATATCTTTTTGGTACAAAATATAGTATGTGAAATAAGAGGTGCTCATTGATAGCATGGGCTTAATTACTGTACTTCTTCCAAAGTTGAAATGCCAATTGCTAGCTTGGAATTATTGTACTTATTCCAAATTTTATGTCACGAATGTGCTTAGATCGTTGCTTGTTACTGCAGGTATCATTTTGCATCAATATTTTTGCATTTGAAACAATAAAGATCTCCATACAAGTATCAAGCATGGACTCCAACATTAAGTCGAAACTATAAAGTGAGACTTCCACAATTAATTAGGATCGAAGTGTTATAATTGCATGAAGTGCAATTCTGTGTTTTGAATAAGAATAACTCAAAAAGTCAATTTTTGAACGAGAGGTGAAAAAGTGTTTAACAATTGAGAATGTAATTAGTGCACATGCACTAAAATGAGGGAGTGCAGCGGTAATAATAAGTTATAAGGGGCTGCATCAGGAAATTTAAATTAATCAGACTAAGTTAGGTAAGGTTGGGTTATATTAGGATGAAAAAAAATAAAACCATGTTATGAATTTACAAGTGAAGGCTGGAGAAGTGGTATGCTCTGATGAAGGCTGAAAGGCATATGAAATGCTAACGACCAATATAGAAGTGAAGACTTGTATACGTATCATAATGCAATGCACCCTACTGATATCATCACAACTTCAAAATATAATATAATACAATATTTATGTGTAGGTCCATCCCTGATGTGTCCCCATGACTATTAAGTGATCGATCCGTGCACATCACACATTGAAGGTACAAAAATCATATTACTTGCACAGGCACATAGTAGTTGGGGTAGCCTCGCCCCGGGCTAAATTTTAACAATTGTACTTATTATATATATAATTTTTATTTGGACCCGGTTGAAATATAATTTGGCCCAGGCTAAAATTTGTATTTGGCCCTATGTAAAAATTAAATTATAATTGGTAAGAAATTTGGGTAAGTTGTATTAGCTTGTGCTTTTAATTATCACTTGTATAAAAAAAATTAAAATATATTTACGTAACCACATTGGGTGTTGCATTTATTAAAGCATTACTAATGTAATTTAAGAAAATTTAATGTAAATTGTATATATAAAAATATTTATTTTTACAAATGTACAATAACTGTTACAATTATATATGTATGACTAATATATTATATATTTATTAACAGCAAGGTATATATTTACAAATTTTTATTTACAATCTCTTAAAAATTATCTCATTTATTAAAATAACTTATATTTACTAAGTTTGTGAAAAATAATTATATATAACAGTTAATTATCAAGTATGAATTTTATTAAATTTATGAAAATTAAAAAAATGTAATAATAAGAGTTAATTATAAAGTTTGAAATTTATTAATATGTTTGAAAATTAAAAACAATGTAATAATAAGAGTTAATTATCAAGTATGAAATTTATTAATATGTTTGAAAATTAAAAAATAATAATTGATTTAATAAATCAATTGTTCGTACTGTTTATAGGGGGGATCGATTAATTTGGCTTGCCGCTCCATATTCCCTCCTGTGTTAAAAAAGTTCCCTCTTCAATTTTTGGCCACCTCAAAATATCGAAACTTAAACACTCTCTCAGTCGAAACTGAACATTGTGTTAGTCGAACCCTAGCCTTCATTTCACGGCTTTGATTTTATAAGTCCTTAGGGCAACGACCTCAATAGCTCACTAATCTCCTCCCTCTCCCCAATCTCTTAGTTTTCTGTATCCTTCTTTCTCCTTATATCTCCTTAAGCTTTGCCCTAACCCCCATTGGCAGACAAAGATTGGCGAAGAGATTGAAAGGTTTTATTTCTTCTGTCTCTTAATGTCATTTTCCTTAACCCTCATTGAAAGTGTTCTTATGTTTTTTTGTTGTTGTATTGCTATCGTTGTAGGGTTTTAATGGTCTAAAGCTGTTGAAGCGCATGGAATGCTCCTTACCTCTTCAGGTTTGCAGTATTGCTCTTTTCTACTTCATTGCATGTGTTATTGGTTGAAGCTCTTTGGCCTTTGTTTTGCTCGTTATGTGTAAATTTGTTTTTTTTACCCAAATCTTCTTTCTCGGATTGAACCTTTTTTTTGTTGTTGCCTTATTTAGTTTTTCCGATTGTGTAGTTATATGTTTGTGAATACTTTGGTAAAGATTTATCCTCTTAATTTTTCTATCGGTTATGGTTCATAAAAATTTTTGGGTTAAATATTTTTCTGTATCCGGCTCACTTATTGGTGCTTTCATGAATGCCTTCTATTTACAATCCATGTTTGTTATTTTAAATCAGTGTATAAGATTGATATTTGTTTTGGTGTTGACTGCATAAGAACTATAGAGTTCCTTAGCTTTATGTTGTAATTATATTATGGAACATGATGCCTCTCTAAATGACCCTATATGTCACTGTTCTTATGAATTTATTGATCTATGATGTATGACTGGATTAAGAATGTGTTATAACATAAGAGGAATGGTAAAATCTACTTTATATTAGAGTTGGTGCTTCACCCTTGAACTTGCAATTTTTAAAATGGGTGCTGCCTTAACCTAATAAGAACATTATTTTGGAAAATAAATTTCGCAACAATTTTGAAAATAATTAATTGGTGGAATGGCAATTTTTTTGTTTTGATAAATACAATTTTCTTTACTGGAAATTCTTAGAAGCAGCCTTGTTCATTGGCAGGTTCTGATTGGTTTCAATTTTGGACTTGCATTTGTGATATAAGCCTTGTTGGTTTTCAATTTGTTCTTTTTGTAGAGAGTTGTTCATAACTGAACTAATTCGCTGCCCAAGTTTGTTGGTTGCTTAAAAACAATCCTCTTACCTGAGTAAGAAGTGTTTGTTACTCAAGTAGAAGATTACCAAATCCAGTGTAATAATTAACTTGAACTTTTTATTTAGTTATCATCTGGATTTTATTACAGAACTATTATGAGCATCCATAGAATGATTAGTTTCATGTCTCTAAGACTAAAATGCAGCTTTATTAATTTTGTTTAGATTCTGACTTAAATTAGAGTATTGATTCTGTTGGCTGAAATATTGTTAGCCTTATTTTTGGTACAAGGATTTTCCAAACATGTGATCTTCCTATAATGAATAGATACAACATACAAATGTTTCTATTTGTCTATAAAATTTATTTCAATCATGTGTTCGTATTGTGCTATTGTAAAATTCTTAATTTCCTTTTCGAGTTTAATTATCATCTTTATTCAGAAAGCTATATTTACCTAAACCCTTTTTTAATTGTATATTTACAACCACAGTTATGCAGTTTTTTTTAAATACATTGTGCAATGTACTTGAATAATATTGAACAACAAATTCATGAAAATATACACAATCCCTATCCCTTACCACCCATTTTGCCTCTGTTTGTTTCATGACTCATTTTTTCTATATTGGTGTTATTGGTGTTGTCAGCTAGAAGAGTAAGGAAGGTACTGTGATTATTCCAGTAGGTAATGTTGGCCTATTTTTGGCTTTTTATTTTGCATTCATTACCGCAGGTTCATTTTTAATACTTTTATTTATTTCATTTATATTTGCCTTGTTCCAGATAAGAACCGCAGTTCTTGGGTATCTTCTGCAGTAGAAGAAAGGAACACCTAGAATCGAAAATCTGGTATTACTTCTATTCAATTTATGTTAGACAAAGTACACTAAATGCATGCACTGAATCACAGTGTCTTCGATGATGATTGATTGCTTGTGTTTTTGTATGTAGTATTGGAACTCCAGCCTCTTGGAGTTCACACAATACAACTAATTTTTGACCTATGGAACTAAATACGAAAGTCTCGACTAGTCCTTTGTGCGTTGTAAACATAATAGGGTCAGACATAAGGCTATCGTATATTTAATTATTAGGTTATCGTAAACCTAACCAGCATATTACAACCCAATCTACATGGTTCTGATCACCCCTAAACCTAAAACCAGATTATACAACCCTTAAAGCAACGTAAGCCTAAACCCCAAATCAAACAATAGTTGTGGTGACAGTACAACGAATGTGCATAAGTACAAATCCTATTCGCCCACATCTTACACAACTCAATTCCTTTTTTTCAGTGCGGATGGATAAATCATGGAAATCAAAACCACGAAATACAGTTGAATATGAACAAGGAGTTAGGGCATTTATTGAATTTGCTATAACACATAGCTCTGCTGAGGGCTTGATATTATGTCCATGTTCACGTTGCGGATTTAGAAAGTGGCAGCCACAAGAAATTGTGTATGACCATTTGATTTGCACAAAATTCCCTGAAGGTTACCTTTTTTGGGTTTTTCATGGAGAGTCACGTGCGGGAGAAACCAGCAATGCCGGTAAGGAAGATGAGCTGCATGGAGGACAAGACAACGCTGTCCATGAGGATCCAATACGAAACATGGTAAATGATGCGTTTGGAGTGGATGGCCAACATCATGCCGAAGATTTGCCAAATAATGGAAATGGAGAAGGTAATGGAGGAAAAGATTTTTATGAGTTACTTCAAGATGGAGAACAACCCTTGTATGAAGGGAGTAACAAATATTCAAAGCTATCCTTTATTGTTAAGTTGTATCATATAAAGTGCTTGTGCGGGATGAGTGACAAGGCTATGACTTTGATATTGGAGCTATTGCACGATGCATTTCCTCATGCTTTGATTCCAAGTTCATTTTACGAGGCTAAGAAAACTATTACGAAGTTGGGACTGGATTACGAGAAGATCCATGCTTGTCCACAGCATTGTATGTTGTATTGGGGTGAGGATAATGTTGACAGACAATTTTGCAAGGTCTGTACCAAATCTAGATGGAAACCTTGTGGCAAAGGAGGTGAACAACAACATGGAAATAGGCAACGTAAAGTGCCTGCCAAAGTTGTTCGTTACTTTCCACTTAAACCACGCTTACAAAGATTGTTCTTGTCTACAAAGATTGCCGAAGACATGAGATGGCATGGTACCGATGGTGATAACGATGGTTCCATGAGGCATCCTAGAGATTCAGAAGCTTGGAAGAATTTTGATTCCTTACACTCCTCATTTGCATCAGACCCACGCAATGTTCGACTTAGGTTGGCCACAGATGGTTTTAATCCATTCGGTAATATGAGCTCCAGCTACAGTGTTTGGCCAATTATTTTAATCCCCTATAATACGCCTCCATGGTTGTGTATGAAGTCCACGTCATTTATTATTTCAACATTTATACCTGGTAAAAAAATGTCGGGAAATAATATTGATGTGTACTTACAACCGTTGCTGAAAGAGTTGATTGAATTATGGAATGAAGGTGTAGATGCTTATGATGCTTCGACACGGGAGATGTTTAAGCTACGAGCAGCTTTAATGTGGACAATTAGTGATTTTCCTGGTTTGGGTAATCTATCTGGGTGGAACACACACACTGGGTTAGCATGCCCCGTGTGCAACTTTGACTTTGAACCTACTCGTCTTTATCATAGTAAGAAGTGGTGTTTTATGGGTCATCGACGTTTTCTTCAGCAAAGACATCAGTTTAGATTGAATAAGGTTCGATTTAATGGAAAACAGGAACTACGCAATCAACCAAGGATATTATCTGGCTGCGAAATTCTTGAACAAGTTCAAAATGTTAATGTTACCTTTGGTCGACCACCCGAAGTCAGCGGAAGAGGGAAAAGATTACGAGTTGGTGATCGTGATGCACAAGGCAAGGCCCCACAATGGAAAAAGAAGAGCATATTCTTTGACCTTCCATATTGGAGACATAATTTATTGCGTCATAATCTTGACATGATGCACATTGAGAAGAATGTCTGCGACAATATCATTTACACCTTGCTTAATGATTCATCAAAATCAAAAGACCATTTGAATGCTCGAAGAGATCTACAACGAATGGGCTGCAAGCCTGACCTTTGGCCAAATGAGAATGGAAAATATCCTTTAGCAGTGTATACAATGACCAATCAAGAGAAGAAGGCTTTTCTGAAGACATTGCGGAATATCACTGTACCAGACGGTTATGCAAGCAACATATCTAGATGCATTGATGTTGATTCTATGCGCATGAATGGGCCACTGAAAAGTCATGATTGTCATATATTGATGGAGCAACTACTACCATTAGCTACTAGAATAT